CTAAGGAGCTATATCTCCAGTCCTAAAATTCTGTTTTTAATTGTTTGTTGTTGTTGGTACTGGAGCTTGACCTCAGAGCTTCATGCTAGGTAGGCAGGTGCTATACCACTTGAGTCACCCTGCCTGCCCTGAATTCTGTTTTTAAAATGCTCATTTTTTATGCTCTTAGTTGTAAATTCAAAGCTTTCTGTATAAATTCTATACCAAATATTTATTTTTGGAAGATCTGCCTTTCCCTGAATGGCTAGTATGTGCTACAAAGCATAAGAGCAGGTATAATTTTTTGAAAGTTTTAGCAAGAATTTAAGTATAACAGGATAAAGTATAGACAAAGGAGGGAGGTAGAGAAGAAAAGAGAGAAACATTTCCTGCTCTCATGCCGGAAATGGGAGCAAAGACTCCCAAGAATAGGCATAACTTATTGAACATAAAAATACAGGTATAATTTGTTGTTTCATTTCTTCCTCCAACATCCCTGTGAGATGGCTTGTGTGAATGAATGGTGGCTACTATCTTCATCCCCACACTCACTCTGCAGCTCACCCGGTGGCCAGGGCTGGCAGCCTGCAAACTACATTTCCCTGACTCCCTTGTCAGCTGTTTCTGCCCATGGGAGGTCCTGGTGGCAGTTTGGAAAATGAGGGAAAAGCCATTCCAGTTTGTGGCTTCTGGCACCACCTCAGGCCCTAGAAACAAGATGGAATCAGCTTGTGTCAGTAGTGTCCATCACCAGACAGTGCAGCAAGGACTCCTGCTCAGCAACTCAGGAATCAGGGTTTCTGGAAACTTTTTTTTTTCTATAGCCTGAGCCACACCCCTTCAGCTTCAGGAAGCAGCTACCTCCACTTGTTAGTCTCTTGGTGCCTTTGTCCTCCCCTGTTTCTCCTACCCTTCCAAAACCTTTGTAAACAATACCCTGTACTAACTTTCATTTAAAATACATAGAATATTTTTTCCTAATTAGATACTGACTAATGTATGTAAAATTACCATTTTACAGTTGAAAAGGCTCACAAATTCAAAGCCAGCAAGTGACTTAACCAAAGGTAAATTGAGTCCCACTCCTGCCACACTGTGTTCCAGCTACCCTGGTCCTGTAATTGGAACAATCTAAGCCTACTTGCACTCTGAAACATTGTCACTAGCCCTCGTGTCAGTACCTTTTGAAAGACATCTTTTGTAGCCTCCTAGTCACTCCATTACAGCATCCTGTCTTTTTTCATCTTGGTGTTTATAACTCCCCAAAAGTGCTTATTCACTCAGTTGTTCATCTCCTTGGAATGTAAAGCCCACGAGACCAGGAACAATGTTTGTCTTACTAAATGCTATACCTCTGTGCCTGAAGACTGCCTGGCACAGAGCTGTACCAATCATTATTTGTTTTAAGGATGAATGAATGAAAGGTAGAGAAAGAGAATGGCAGATCCTTCCTAGTGGCTGCCTCCTGCCAGCAGCTGAGAGCTCCTCTGGAGTCTCATGGCTCAGGCTGTGCTCTCACTAGGCACTCAGGTGAATCATGCTGCCTAGCAAGTTACAGACAGAAAAAACACCGTGGGGATCACAGCTTGCTAGCAGGTCGGCGGGAGCCAGGAAGAGCTGGGTCTAGTTGTGTGAGCATTTTTATTTACTCTGTGCACTACACATTGTGACCTGGTACGTGCCTCACTAATGATAATAGCATTTCCAGACTGCTTCCCAAAAGGCACAGTAGCAGTGTAATCTCTGTATCTGGAATGCCTATGTTCAAAACCTGACACATTGCTTACCTCAGTGTGACCTCGGCAAGTCACTCAGCTCTCCTGTGCTTTGCTTTCCTCATTTGCAAAATGAGAACACTGACAGTAGTATCACTTTTATAGGGTTGTTGTGAAGATCAAAAAAGTTAATCAGTAAAATATAGGCCTGCACAGGGCATTCCACAATCATCAGTTGTTATTGTTACCTTGGGCTTGGTTTTTCTAAGTTCTATGTGTGTGTCAACACATCATCACTGAAATACTGTCAGCAATTCCCCGAGGAGAGGTACTAATGCCACCCCTATGTTATAAACAAGCAGACTGGGGCAAAGAGAAGGTGCATAAGCAGCCCCATCCAGAAGTGTGGCACCATGTTTTAAGCCTGGTGTCCTAGAATTCTTACTACACTCTCTGAATCACTACCCTGGTAGACAAGTCCACAGGCAGTGACATGATATCATGATAGTCCTCTGGGGAGCTCTAGTATGTGCTACACATTGGCACTTGGTGGCAGGGTTCATGACACAACTTGAAAACCAGGAACTTGCTAGAGACCAGCCAGGTCTAAGGTCTTGAAGCCTAAAGGTTGGCCTGGAGGGAAAGGCATGGGAGGCAAAGCACTACACATCTGTGGACCTACAAACCCTCTGAATTTGCCAGCCTGGCAAGTCCCAGGCAGAAAAGGGAAACAGTTGAAGTTGCAGAGGCAGGCAAGCTCCAAACTAAGAAGGGCTTCTAGATTGTGCCAGGTGGCATGAATGACCCTGCCGGTGAGGAGGGCCTGGGAGGGGACTTTAAGCTGCTGACCCTGTTGTAGAATGTGAGCAGAGGTAAATGCAGAGGCAGAGGCAGAGGCACCGTCAGTGACTCCAGAGACAAACACCCCCCCACCCCCCCGCAACACACACACACACACCTGTTGGCCGCTTGCTCTGGCCTGTGGGGTTCACCACGCTGTATCGGAGCACAGGGGCTCTCAATCTGCAGGCTTCTGTATTAGATTGCTCATATGACTATGGAACCATCTAGTATACTAGCCATACTGTCTGCGGTCCCTCCAAACGGAGGGACTTGGGATTCCCTACTCCCTACCCCGCTCCGCCCTTCAACTAGTAGTCCATATGTCTGAGGTGGCAGCAGTTATGATTTTCTTTATAGCAGTGTCTGACGGGGAAACACCAGGTCCTGGGAAAGGGGACTGGCAGATGGGACGATTTGCCCAGAACATGTGATTATGTTCAGGAGTAAGCCGTGCGGCAGAGACTGGATCTCCAGCAGGCCTTCTCTATCGTAGAACCCTATTTCCTTGACATCAATTATCCCGCGTTGTAGCGGTTTTTCCTTTTTGCCTTTGGACTCTGCTCCCAACAGCTACACCTGCAAGCAGGGACTTCGGTGCAGCAGGAGCCACGTGGGTCTCCCAAGTACCCACCCTGAGACCAGAGAATTTGGGGGGATGGAACGGGAGCAAAGACAGCTCCCAAGGAGGGCCCAGCGGCGCCGCCGCCCCGCGATGACCTTAGCGGGCCGAGGCGGTGTGGTGAAGGGCAGAAGAGGAGCGGCCGAGGCCGGCGCGGGTGGACCACAGAGCTGGCGGGCAGGAGAGGCAGGCGGGCGTGCACTGGACGCGGGACCCAGCCGAGCCGCGTCCGCGCGGCGCTCTGGGAGTTGTAGGCGCTTTCTTTCCGCTCTCCTTCAGCCACTCGTTCTCCAAGCCCAAGGACGTTCAGGTGGTGGGCGCAGCAACTCCCAGGCTGCGACTCCAGGACTCACTTCTCAGGCCGTGCCTCCCCCGCGCCCAGCGGCGCTCCCGCGGCCGGCGGCGGCTTCCGGCGCGCGGCATTGTGGGTGCCGTAGTCTGCGCGCCGCAGCCAGCCGCGCCCGGGGCGCCCGCGGGACTACGTTTCCCGTCAGCCCGCGCGCCCTCCCAAGCCGCCTCGACGCCAGCTCCGGGCGAGCCGAGTGTCTCCAAGATGGCCGCGTGGGGAAGGAGGCGTCTGGGCCCGGGCAGCAGCAGCGGCAGCTCCCGAGAGAGGTGAGGCCAGCGGCTCGCGGCTGTTAGGAGGCTTGACGGATTGCTCGGAGGCCGAGGCCGGCGGGAGCCTCTGGGTCGCGCGCCCTCCCCGCCAAGCCCGGCTCCCGTCCCCGCCGGCACGCGGGGGCCAGCCTGGGGGACTCGGGGTCCGGATGGAGCGGATCGGCACAGCCTCGACGGAGTGGCGGCCGGGGAGGGGTCAGCGGCCAGCTGGGTGGGCCCGGCCGTGTGTCTAGGGCGAAGCCGGGCCGCGTAGGCCTGAGGGCCATCCTGCTGACCATGGCCTAGTGGCGTTCGAGCTCCCGCCAGTCTGGCCACGCACGTGGCAAGTCTCGGCCGCGACGTGGCGAGGACCGGCTCACGGGGGAGACGGGAGGGAAAAGCTGCGAAGGCTGCTGGTAGGGCGTGCGATCCGCGCGTTTGCCGGAAGCCTCTCTCTAGACTTGCCTCCCGGACAGGGGACCCTCCGCCTCCTTTTGGGGCGGTCGTCGCTCATTTCCGAGAATTTTTTTTTTTGCAAACGCTCTTGCCCGGAAGTCCTTTATAGTGACCTTCTCTAATGAATGGCGTGCGGTTAAGGCGCTAGGAGCTTGTTTCTTCCTTAGTTGGGATTTGGATAGCAGATTTCCAGAAGACGAGATTGCTTGTCTGGTGTTGAATTGAGAGTTTTGTTTCTGGAAAGAATTTTCAGCCAGAAGTTACCACAATCTGCTGTTCAGACCCTGGAAGTTTGGGAGATGGGTGTCTATTGGTGGAGCCACCTGGATTAAACTGCCCTATTTTGCTAAAGCTTGGTCGGTGTAGAAGAGAAGAAAATGCTTTGCTTTTTTGATCTCAGTGAGGATTGTCAAACAGAAAAGTTCTTTCTCACAAGTACAATGCATTGTTCCTTCTCTTTGATTCTTTCCCATGTTCATTGCTGTTGCTTGTGGATGGCTTTCCCAGTCCAGAACAATCTTCATTCGGAAGTTATGATAGCCTACATTTTATTGTTGCGCTCACAATTATCCAATATTGCTCCTTCTGCATTTCCTTTTCCTTGGAAAAGCAGTGGCAAAGAGTTCATTTTTCTGGCCCCACCTTGCGTTTTTGGACCGATAAGACCATCAAAACAGATTACCTCTGTGTTTTCCAGATATCCTTTCCAGATCTTATAAAGCAAACATCAGCCCCTTAGTAGTAGGGAATGGCCTGCTTAGAGCACTCCGTGTCAGAGGGAAAGGCATTCATCGTTTTTGGTTGCAAAAATCTGAAAAGGCCAAATAGGGTGGCCTCAGACGTGATACAGAAGCCTTGCCAGCAGAGGTTAAGCTTTTATTGACCTGCGAAAATAGATTCAGGGAATTATTTTTCCTTTATCTTGAAACAAATGTTAATTCAAAACACCTTGCCAACCGGCAGCCCACAGGCTGAATCCAGTCCTTGATGGTTGAGCCTCAATAGCTTTTAAGAGAATTTCAATTAGGTGCCGGCAGATTTCACATAAAAACTCCCTTCAAAGCTGGGTAGTGGCTGACTTTCTGGTCAGGGCAAGTGCTCTCTAGTTCATCATTCTCACCTGACAGCTTGACTCATTGCAGTTACCTGCCTGGCTCTGTAGGTGTTCCGGTTGCAACCTTTAGCCAGAAACTGAAGGTTGCACCCAGCCATGCAGATGCTGTGTTGGCCAGGAATGGGATTTCTGGTTTTGTTGCCATCTGCCTTCCTTCCAGATAGTGTAAAGTAGCTGGAGACTACCCACCCCTCTGTTTGCCTTGGCTGTAAGGTCCCAGCCAGTTTCTATCAGTCATTTGCCTGAGCCCATCTTCCCTAAAATCCTCCCACGCTGACTGAGCAGGGAATGGAAACAAAACCCGCCCCCTGGCTAGGTTCTGACTTCTGGGCACACCTCCATTCCTGCTCAGTTAGTGGCATGACTATTTGGGTGGAGCAGGCCAGATTAATTGATTGCCCAGCACCATAGATTATGAGGTCTGACTGAGTGTGTTATTGTCTCATGACTGAAATAGGCTGTTTATGACTCTTAAATGACTTTATTCCATGTTACATTTGGACTTACTCAAATTTCAACTCCCATGTTAAGAACATTTATCAGCGTGTTGCTGCTCACACCTGGTTGGTGGCTCACTTGCACTGAAACAGAAAGAAATGCTTTTGGAGTAGGGGCTGGAACAGGACATCGATTTGAACAGACTTGGGATGCAGGTAGGGAGACAGACTCTGGAGCATGTTTGTATATAAAGGCCTTGCCTGGAGTGGTAGGAATTGTGAGCTTAGAGCAGTAAAGGAATTCTTCCTTTGCTTTTTGAATCTAGTAACACAGCTCTTAAGATTAGAGCTGAATGATTTAACTCTTACAGCAACTCAGTAACTACTAGCCACATGTGGAGATGACATTTAAATTAAAATTAAATACAATGAAAAATTCAGCTCCTCAGTCTCACCACCGTATTTCAAGTACTCAGTATTCATGTTTGGCTAGTGGCTACCATATTGGGCAGCAGAGGTAGAGAACATTTCCATCACTGCAGAAAGTTATATAGATATGGACAGTGCTGGTCTAGACTGAAATAGGAGGGGTGGAAATTAGCAAACTGATAGCTGCTTGTGTGTTGATTTTTCTCTCCACTCCATTAAATCTAGGGAACCAACAATATTTGTAATGAAGAACATCAGACTCTGAACTGTAACCTGAATTCTTGTCCAAAATTCAGCCTACTGGCAGCGAGCACATCAGACAGATTGCCACTTGTCCTGCCGGCGCCTTTGAGGCACACTTGCCCATCTAGGAAAGCACAGAGCAGGTATCTGTGTGTTCTTCCACCTGTGTGCCAGCCTGGACCAGCTCACAGACAGCCCCACCTATCTTACTTGGGCTGCTTGGCACTGCTCTCTCAGGGCCCCTGAACATCCCTGAGTTCGCCGTGAGTGTTGGAATGTGAGTATAGCCGTGCACTCTTGAGTTCCTGTTTTTATAATCAAGTGAAGATGTACTTGATCTGCATCTGATCATGTTGCAGGGTGTCCTGGGGGTTAGATGATTTTCTGTAGCCTCCCTGCCCTGACCTGTACAGCCACTGCCCTAGCATTTGTTAGACAGCCAGTTCCCTGGGGTTACTATGGGGTCACTTCCACATCTTTCCCTGCCATGTCCTTCTCTTGGAGGGCTGTGCCTTATGTGTAAACACAAGTGGATGAGGTCCAGATACCAGTGGGAGGTTTAGTGCCCACTCCAGCTGACCAGATGGCTCACTGGCCATGTGGGCAAGTTGATTTGCATTCCTCAGGTGACCCCTTTCTGCTCTAATCCTTCTCTTTTAGAGATGAGACTCTTGGGGGTTTTTAATTTCTCTAGTGAATCCCGTTCTGGTTGTCATGTGGTGGGTGTTTTCCTTTCCTCCTGGTTTGGATGAGATGAGCAGGCCCAGGACTTGCTCCCAAGTCTGTCAGTGTGTAGGCACTGTGGGCTGTGGTATTCTGCTCAGTTGGGCAGTGAAGGATGGTGGTGCTCATGGCTGGGCTGCATATTCTGCTTGCAGCATTGGATGGTATACATTAGGATCTGCAGTGGTTCAACCTTGTTGGCATTCACGTGCCTTAACATTTGCAGGGCACATTTCCATTTTACTAGGTTCACTTGAGCAGTCTGGATTTCAGTTGCTTTGATTTACCAATGGGTCAGTTCTGCAGATCACATTCCAGTGGAGGCCGCCTCTAAGGAGGGAGGGGCTGAGGTCATGCGTCAGCTGGGGTTCTTTGCCTTGCCTGAGGTGGACTTGTCTTCTTAGTGAGTGACAGGTTGTGGGTGTGGCAAGTGCTCTATGAGGGAATGAGCACAGACAGAAACCTCCCACTTGCTCATGTTGTATCCCTGGTACTAGCAGCAACTTTGTGGGCACAAGGTTCTTAGAAAAAGCCAGTGATCAGGGCTGTGTAGAACTTTCTGTATCTTTGCTGTGCATCAGGCATCCATGAGCCACATGTGGCTGTGAGTGCTTGAAATGTTAGTTTGAATGAGTTTTTCAAACTAGTTCTAAGTTTTTTTTATTTTATCTAGTTGTGATTAATTTAGACAGCCACAGATGCTTAGGTGGTGCTTTGCAGCTGTCCACTTTGGTTTGCACACCTGACCCAGATCCTGATGTTACTACAGGGTGTTGGGTGAACCAGGGCCTGTGGCCCTGTTTGACACCAGGAAACTGGCTCAGGGTAGCAAGATGTTTTGCCCTTGGACACAAAGCCAAGTGAGAACAGTGAGAGGGAACTTGAACCTGGGCCCTTTGACACACACACTTGGAGCACTGTGTCCCTGTTGCTGAGGCAGAAGAGCTGCTCAGGCACCAGACCACAGAGTAAGTGGCCACTTCCACGTGTTTTTCTCTGAGATGAGGACAGTGTCAGGTGCCCTGTGTTCTTTGGCCTGTTTGGAACTGTCCTCTATGTTTGGACCTTCCTGCCAATACCCTGCTGTCAACATTGACCTTTAAATCTTCAGTATGGAATTTGACTGCTTCATCTTTCTGCTTTCTTTTGGGTCCTTAGGAAGCAATGCTTGGTTAGTCAAAAGTGGGTTTCCTGGACCTGCGGGTGGAGATAGAATCCAACATCTTTTATCACACATGACAATCAAGTGACCACAATGTGAAAAGCAGCCTGACAGATGGACCTACTTTAAATATTCAGATACTTTCATCACCATAATGTTTTTCTCCTCCTGTTACTCATTACAAAGTATTTTCACTAATGAGTTTGGGAAACCTATTACCTTCAGGCCTAGAGCTGGGGATGCCATGCTGAAAACAGCCTCTGTCTTCATGGATCTTGAGCCCCTGTCCCTTTGTATTTTAGATGTGAGCTCACACTTGAACCCTGCCTGAGAGCATAGGGCCCCACTACAGGGAGTGGGCCTAAAGCCAGTGTTCACAGCAGTTAGATTGGGTTTTTGTGGGTCTAGCAAGTCCCAAAAGTTGTGGAGGCTTGTAGGGCAGCGTGGCCAGAATTTTCTTGAGTGAAACAGGGAAATGGCATTGCCTTCCTCTTCCCTAGTAGGACTTCAGGGTGAGACCATTTCGACACCTCCGTCAGGAGAGGTTCCTGTATTCAGACTGTGCTGGGGACTTGCTCCCTGTGGCTTATCCTCAGGCACAGTGGAGACTCAGTGAATGTCTGACTCCTCCCACCAAGGGATACAGGTTGTTGAATGAGATTTTTCTCTCTCCTTTTTGAGACGGGGTGTTGCTATGTTGCCCCGGACTGGCCTTGAATTCCCAGACTCAGGCCATCCTCCCACCTCATTGTCCCAAGTAGCTGACACTACAGGTATGTGCCATTGTGCTCAGTTGAAATTTTTCTTTTTAAGAAAAAGCTTAAGGCTGGTGAAGCAGCTCAGGCTCTAGAGTACCTACTTAGCAAGCCGGAGTCCTTGAGTTCAAACCCCACTACCACCAAAAAAAAAAATTTTATAGCTATTTTTTCCCATTATAAAAAAAAAGTATGTACTTTTTAGAAAGAAAGAAAAGCATTGAGAAAAATAAAATGTGAAGGTCATGTGTGAAACCACCACCTGAGGAAAATGATGGTCTTTTTGGTGTCCAGCACTCTTTTTTTTTTTTTTAACAGTACTGGGGCTTGAACTCAGAACCTACACCTTGAGCCACTCCACCAGTGCTTTTTTGTGATGGGCTTTTCGAGATAGGATCTCGAAAACTGGCTGGCTTCAAACCACAGTCCTCCTGAGTTCTGCCTCCTGAGTAGCTAGGATTACAGGTGTGAGCCACTGGTGCCTAGCTATATTCAGCACTCTTGATACTTTTCCCAGATACCTATCTTGGGTTTTTAAAAACTATATGTTAAATACATCAGAAGTTAGGTCTGTAACATGTGAAGCATAGTAAACATGCTACAACATGTTGCCCCTGAAACATAATGCTAAATGAAAGAAATCAGTCACAAAACATCACATATTATATAATTCTGTTTATATGGAATGCCCAGAATTGACAAATCCAGAGTCAGGAAGCAGATTGGTTGTTATCAAGGGCTAGGAAGGGTTGGGGAAGATGGAAAGTATCCCTAATGGGTGCAAGGTTTCTTTTGAGGTGATGAAAATGTTCTAAAATTGTGTTGTCAATTGTACAACCCTGAAAACGCTGAGTCACTGAATTTTCCACCTTAAATGAGTGAATTGTTACTTGATAAAGCTTGTTAAAGCTGTACAGTGCCTGCCTAGCAAGTATGAGGCCCTGAGTTCATATCCCAGTACTGCCAAAAAATTGGTATTTAAAAATATAAATTGGGCTGATGGAGTGGCTCAAGTGGTAGAGTGGCTGCCTAGCAACCCTAGCCAGTGTGTTGCCCTGAGTTCAAATCCCAGTACTGCCAAAAATAAAATAAATCAGGAGTTGAGGATGCAGATGAGTAGTAGAGCATTTGCCTAGTATGTGCAAGACCCTGCATTCTGTCCCCAGTACGGCCAAAAAAGAAAGAAAAAAGAAAAACTAACAAAACCACTATGAGAGACCACATTAGGATGGCTACTATTCCAAAGAAATGAAGCAGAAATAAGTGTTGGTGAAGTTGTGGAGCTAGTGGAACCCTGTGCACTGTTGATGGAAAGGTAAAATGGAATAGGTGCTGTGGTAAACAGTGTGTCCAATCCTTAAAAATTAAAAATAGAATTACAGTATAATTCAGAAATTCTTCTCTGGGTATAGACCCAAAAGAATTGTAACAGGGACTTGAATAGATACTCGTACAGCTGCGTTCATAACATGATTCATAAGAGTCAAGGTAGAAACAACTCAAGCATCCATTGGCAAATGATTGGTAAACAAATTGTGATGTAGCCATACAGTGGAAACTTATTCAGCCTTAAGAAGGAAAGAGATTCTGGTACCTTGAAGACATTCAAGTGAAATAACCAAAAATAATTAGAGTTGTAGCTTAGTGGCCAGAACACTTATGTAGTAAGTACAAAAAAAAAACCTTATACTTTCCTCTTGGGGAAAAAAAAGTGAAATAACTAGTCACAAAAGGACAAATACTGTGATTCCACACTTATGAGGTCCCTCGTTAGTCATATTCATAGAACAGGAGTTGGGGTGGAAGGATGGAGATTGATGCTTAATGGGTGGGTGTAGTTTCAGTTTTGCAAGATGAAATAATTCTGGAGAATGATTGTACTTAACAGTACTGTATATTTCAAATGATTAAGGTAGTAACTTTTCTTTTTAAGGTTGTATATTTTGGTATGTGGATTTTACCACAATTAAATAGCAATAATGATTGTGCTTACCACTCAGTTTTTGAAGTAGGAAACTAGCCTTAATGGGGCCCACGGGAGCTTCCCCAAGCAGAAGCCACCCCTCTGTGTGTGTGAATCGTCATTTTCTTGCTCTTCATAGTTGGCCATTGAAGACAGTCCCAAAGGCTGGGTGCTTGAGTGGTACATTAGAGGGGGTCTCTGCTGCGTGTGTCCCCTTATCAGCTGGAGCTCCATTCGACCTCATTCTGCTAGTGGGCGGCCCAGTTTCGTTCTTGCTTCTCCTGTCAGTGGGCTTTTATGTTCACAGTAATGCTGCTCTGAACAGTCTAGTGCACACTTTTCTAGGAGGTGTTTCAGACTTTGAGGGGCCCCACATTAGAGATTCCTTCAAGACCAGCCTCAGGGTGGTGTGAGGCAGACTTCAGGGTCCGGCTCCCGTCAGGCTGCCAGGCATGTGTTCAAGGGTCCCCAGGTCCCAGAGGGTACAGAGCATGTCCTGTTGAGTTTTCATTATGGCCACCTTTTGACTGCAATGTCAGCATTTCCAGGGCATTCCTTTGCCAACTACTTCCAGAGCTGATTTACCTTGGTGGCGAGCTGAGGGCAAAATCTGTTTGAGGGAGGGAGACAGCCTCAAGGTGTCCAGTCACGACATGATCAGAGGTGCTCAAACA